TGGACTCACCCGCCGGATCTTGATCCCGACTTCGACAGTGACGGCTTCTGGCACTCCAACACCATACCTGCAGCAGAGAGAACACGAGCATTAGCAGTTATCAGACAAGAAAGACAAGTACCCGCAAGTGTCCCAACAAAACCATCACCTGCAGTATCGGCAGCAGGACCCAGCCGAGTACCACCACCATCAACACGAGGACCGCCAACGGAAGCAGACCAACTCATGCCCGCCACACGAGAAGCTTGTCGAAGTCCCGCCTCGGTCGTCGCGTTCTTCTCCAACGCCGACATCTACCACCGCTCGCCCGGTCACCGTGCTCCCGACGACATCTGGCACCAACGCCTCGGACACCCTGCAAACAGCACAATACTTCAAACAATCCAAGCAGAGGTGTTAGAACGCAACGCCCTTCTGACGACGAGCGGTCAAGAACTTCGACGACCACGCGCACGGTGCTTCACATGCCCCGAAGCAGATCTTCCTCATCAACCTTTTCCATCCCATCACAACCCAAGCGCACCTACTTACGCTCCGATGGAAAAAGTCTACAGCGATATTTTAAACATGCCTCGAGACGACGCCGAAGCCGACTTTAACTACGTCATCACTTTCATCGACGCCGCAACCAGATATGTCTGGCACTTCAATCTCAAAACGCGCGACCAAGCCTTCGAAGCCTTCACAACATGGCTCCCCATCGCCGAACGAGAATCAGGACTCAAACTCAAGAGCTTCCAGTCAGACGGTGCACTGGGAATACCAGTCACAACGCTTCAGGACCTATCTGGCGGAAAGGGGAATCAGACGCCTGGTGTCCCTGCCCTATGCTCACCAACAGCAGGGGGTAGCAGAACGCATGAATCGGACCTTGCAGACGACGATGCGAAAACTGCTTCAGGGGATGCGACTGCCAACCACACTGTGGCCGGACGCGATGACACATGCTGTTCACCTGCACAACCTGCTGTCCTCGTCATCACTTCCCAACAACGCATCACCGCACCTGCTGTGGACAAGAAAACGGGGCAGCACAAAATTACTCAGAGTCTTTGGCTGCATGGTACAGTACAGACCCCACACAGCCCGAGCAGGACGCTTCACACAACGAGCTCGGTGGGGACTCCACCTCGGCATCGCGAAACATTTTCACGCGTGGAAAATTCTCGACATACAAGACAAAAACACGGTGGCATCACGAGACGTTATCTTCTACGAACGACTGACTCTACAGCATTACCTGGACAACCTTGCCAACACACAAGACCCCACCGACGGCCTCTCGGGACTTCGTTCCTTCGCCGATCGTGCTGCCGAAGCTGATGCAGCAGAAGAAGACGTACCTGGAGCCTCGGAAGCTGCCGGGCCACTCCCATTCTGTTCCGTACCTGTTCCACTCGATGAAGATAATCCCCTCGATAGCAACAACCTCGACACCTTTTACCACTTCGCCGACCAAGGTTACGCTACACCTCACCCGTCGACACGAATATTTCGGAACGCATCGGCCCCAATTTCTTACCTGACCCCGAAGACGGTGACGAAGCAGCTTATTCCGGGAATGACAATTCCCCTCGACACACACCCACGGGACTCCAGATTCTAGGCCTCTGGGTCTCCGTCCAGCATCCGCCGCCGCCTTCTACGCGTGAGCCTTCAACCTTGTCGCAGGCTCTGGGGCGGGAACATAAGGTAAAATGGAAGGAAGCGATGGAAAAGGAGTTAAAAGCTCTACAAGACCGAGAAACATGGAAACTGGTACCTGCAACGAGCATCAACGGGAAGAACGTTCTCTCGGGGAAATGGGTGTACCGCATCAAGACCAACTCAGACGGCTCCATCGAACGATTCAAAGCTCGATGGGTCGTACGAGGCTTCGATCAACGATACGGAACCGACTACACAGAAACCTTCGCTCCAGTCTCCCGTCACACCTCATTACGCATCCTACTCGCCGTCGCGGTCACGAAAACACTACCACTACGCCAAATCGATGTCGCGAATGCGTTCCTATACGCACCTGTGGACGCTGAGATCTTCGTCGAACAACCCCACGGATTCATCGACGACCCCACGAAAATATGCCGACTGACAAAATCCCTATACGGGATCAAGCAAGCCCCGCGGCTCTGGCAGCAGCATCTTCACAGCCGTCTCGTAAAAATCGGCTTCCTACAGCTACCACATGACCAAGGCATGTACCGTCTGCAGAAGGGAAGAGATTACATTCTGCTCATCGTCTACGTCGACGACCTGCTCTACATCGGTTCTACCACCGACATCGTCACCCGGTTCGAAGGGGAGCTGAAAGGGGACCTGACGCTCACAGTGTCCGACTCAGTGACCCAGTACTTGGGACTAAATATCGTCGAAGACAACTCGGCGTTCTACCTACACGCTGGAAAGTACGCAGGCACTGTCGCGAAGAAATTCGGACTAACACCGGCTACCGCCTCAACTCCCTACCGCTACAGAAACAACAACAGCGCCTCCGCAAAACTCCCCGCGAAGCAAATCCAGGAGTATCAACAGAAGCTCGGCTGTCTACTATTTGCAGCAGTAACCTGCCGACCCGACCTGTCCTATAGTGCAAGTCAACTAGCGACGCATCTGAAGCAACCGGAACAGGAGGATCTCGAGGAGCTCAACCGGGCACTACTCTACTTCATCTCCACGCCGACGATCGGACTTACCTACAGCAAAGCGACAACATCGTCCGTACAACTACTCGGATACGTCGACGCCGACCACGCGGGAGATAGGGAAAATCGACGATCTAGGACGGGCTACATCTACCGACTAGAACCCATCGGAACTATCTCCTGGCAGTCGAGCAAGCAGGAGTTAATCGCACTATCCTCTGCTGAAGCAGAGTACATCGCCCTTTGTACCGCGACCAAGGAAGGACTCTACCTGCGAGAGTTACTCGAGGAAGCGAAGATCGCGACCCTGCCCGCCTTCTCACTCTTCTGCGACAACCAATCTGCGATCAAAATCGCAAACAAGGACGGCTTCGCCAACCGAACCAAGCACATCGCCCTGCGGTACTTCTTCGTCAATGATGAAATCGCGAAGGGGAGACTTCAACTCAGTTACTGCCCGACGACAGAAATGGCCGCAGACTATTTGACGAAGAAATTGGCGAAGGCAAAATTCGACTACTGCATGGTGCTGACCGGACAAACAAACGTCATCGGACCTGAACAAGTCAGCACTCCAGAAACGAAGGGGAGTGTTGAAAGTACATCAAAAGACTTAAGCGTTTCTGAAGTGTAACACTACACTCGAGGAAGATTGCAAGGGGTACGCGAGTCAACGGAGGTTACACGAGGGGGCGGACAAAGAACACGAAGGGTCTGGGACTCAAAGGGTCGCAACTGGAGGTTGCGACTGACCGTTACAGCATCACGGATGGTAACCGAAGCGGCAATCGAGTCGCTATGCGACTCGATAAACCGTTCCTGTAACTGTACTCTGCAACTGCTTTCTTATCTTCTATATGTTGCTGTATGCTTGTTTCTTTAATCAATCACTTGTTCTCACATACTAGTACAAGGGTTCAACTGTCTCAACTTCCGCTGCACTACTCCAAGTCTCAAGTCTCTACAGCTGGGACTTAGTCTCTGCAAAAGATCCTTAAGGGCTTTTCTCAGCCCAACACCTTGGGTATGAAACTAGTAGCGAGGTGGCGTGACTGAAACCTCAACGTGAGAAGCGAGGCTGGGGACGAGGCGAGAAAAAGAAGAAACCCTAGGGAGCATTATGATTCGTAAAAAAAAAATGTATATACAAAGCTTTTCAGTTCACATCGTAGGGTAGCACAAAGGGTTAACTCGTTCGGAAGTCTCGGGTCTATTTTGCCGGGTTTATATTTTGCATCCCTCGATTTCCGAGCTGGCTCTGTCAAATCTGGAAGAAAAAAAGTGTTGCGCTATTAAAACATCAGATGTACAGTTATGAGAAACAAGGATGTATATTAGCAAAATATAAAAAGACTTTATGCAGAATTGTAAAATAATATCACATCAAATAATAATAGTCCTAATCTCGATGTAAACAGCAAAATAAAATTATTCAATTTGTCAAACCGGCAAAGATAGTTCCGCAACCCTAAGACGATTTAGTCGACACTTGTTGGCATCAAACTGGGCCCAGTTTGATCCATGACTGAATAATTTGGGATCTGGGCTTTCATCGGCCAATTTGATTTTAACGAAAATATTTAATCACCGCAGTTACCCATATTCCACGTTTTGAAACCGCCTATTATCCTACTCGTTTGGCGCTCGTCAGCGCAGCCCCCCAACCCAAACCAACGGCACTTGCGCCACGCTGTTAGCCGCGCCTGGGATGCGATCCATCGCGCTCTATGCCACATGCAACTCGCATTGTGTATGATATGGTGTGCGCTTGCACCCCAACTCGCATCGCGTTTGCGGACATGCCAGGGGCGCATGTGATGTGTGACTCGTGGTGGTAAGGGCTGTTAGTATGCAGATATTAAACTCGTGAAAACGTACTTTGTGACACTTCGTTCTAACGATTTGCGTGTGTACCGCGTCATCCGATTCAGAAAAGGACCAATTTCTGTCTTCCCTCCCAGAACGAAACCACTGCCATAACTCGCAGCTTTCGCAATTCTCATAATCAAATTTCGCCAATGAAAACCAGCTGTCATCTGGCAACACCATATTTTCCCGTTACATATCCCTGGATCCGCAAATTTATTGGAGGGATGTTTTGGGGGCTGCTGCGTAAAATCGGGTAACTGGAGTCAAATGAATTGAGTGTCACTTTCGCGACACGCCCTAAGTCGTGCCATTCTCGAGATTCGTGATTCATGGGTGATGGATTCGCGACACCAGACGCTAACTCTGGTTCCTCCCACGGTCAGCCTCCCGCTTGCTCTGCTGCCCCATCCATCATCCAGCCCAATCCAGCCCTCCACAGTGCACATTGCCTAGGCAAAGCATGGTTCCGAAGGGGCCCCCCACCTTCACAAAGAGCGGACTGATTCACATAGCGGCTATTTAGTGCAAACAGATAGCGCGGCCATCACCAGGCGACATGTAGAACCAACTGAACCATGGCGGCCGACGACGACGACGAGGACGGCGGTAGCAGCGGCGGCGGCGTTCCGCTGCCGTCCGCTATTCGAGCGGAAACCTCTTCCGCCGCGACGGCGGAGATGGAAGGCGCAGGGCAAGCACCATGCGCGGTTCGGCGGGATGCGACGACGCCATGGCAGCAGCAGGAGCGAGATCGGGCCATAATAACGAGTCTTCGCGAGGAGCTGCGGGAGGCTCAGCTCGACCGAGATCGCGCCGAGCAGAAGCTCGTGGACTGGCTGCGCGGCGCTTGCCACTGCGGCGTCCCGGACGGCAAATTAGCCGTGCATAAAACAGCCACTATTAACGAACCGCTCACTAACGAGGCTGTCGCGGCCGACGCGCACGTAGTAACTCTGATGCAAGATCCCCCGGATCGCGGAAACTCCACCGCAGCGCCGGCGAAGGAGAGGAATCATGGAGGAGGCGCAATGTCGGACGCCTCGGAGCCTTCGAGTGGGTACTCCTCGGACCCCTCGGAGGAGTTTCGGAACTCTCCTGCTGGCGAGTTTCGGAACTCGGAGGAGTTTCGATTGGGCTCCGCCTCGGAGTCGGAGTCTCTGCAGGATGCCGATGGCTTTCCCGCCGCGCCGTCGCAAGAGCATCCGTCGCGGGAAGGCCGCGCGCTGGGGTATATGGAGGAAGCGCTGCTTCACCACGCGCGCATGCTCGCGCGCGAGCGGAACAGGCGCGCGGAAGCCTCTGCGCGCCGGGAGGAAGCAGAGGCGCGGTGGCGGGCGGCGCAAGAGGAGGCGGAAGGTCTCCGCCGCGAAGTGGCCGCGCTGCTTCCGCGCGTAGCGGGGGGCGGGGGTGTATTCGCGACTGCCAGCGGAGACACGGGCGGATGTGGTTTTCCCGGGGGGCGGTTGGGGGCAGCAAGCGCGGGGATGGTGGAGCAGTTGGCGGAAGTGGGGCGCGAGATGGGGGAGCTGAGGGTGGAGGTGGCGGAGGTGACGCGGGGGGTGCACAGGAGCGAAATGCGCGCGCGAGAGAGATGGCGCGAGGTAGAGGGAATGGTGGGGATGGTGGGAATGCGGATAGATGAAGGGAGAGGGGCGGAAAGCGCTCTAGGTGGCGGAGGAGGGGCAAACAGCGGGGGCGGAAGGGACAGCGCGGGGAAGAAAGGCGGGGATGGAGCAAAGGGGAGGGAACGTGGAACGAGAGCGGGACAAAGGGATGCAGGGGAAGCCTTGGGGGACGTGGGAGGGGAGGCAAGGGCAAACGAGCAGGCGGATGGGGGAGAACGCAAGAGGGGAAGGGGGAGATTGGAGCTGGTGAAAAGGCGGATTGGGGAGTTGGGGGAGAGGGTGCAAGGGGAGAGATGGCAGCAGGCGCAGGTGGAGCAGCAGGTGGCGAGGGTAGGGAGGGAGGTGGCACGGGTGAGGGGCCTGGTTGTTGGGCCTGTTGGGGAAGAGGGTAAGGTGAAATTTGAGGGTGGAGGGGAGGGGCAAAGATATGAGGATGGTAAGGAAGAGGCGCCGGGTGACGACTTGGGAGGAGTAGCAGCGGTAGGGAGTGGAGAGACGGGTGAGGGAGGGGGGCCGAGAGGGATGGGGAGAGGGCTGGATGGAACAGAGTTGGGAGGGGGTCACTTGGAGGGGAGTGCGAGGGAAGGGAGGCATGAAAGTGTGGAGGGAGGGGAGGTGGTGGAGATAGTGTGTGAGGGGGGGGGGTCAGAGAGGAGGCAGGCACAAGACATGGGAAGGAAGGGAGAATGGAGGATATTAGAGAGCGCTCCAGAGCAACAGGGGAGGAGGCAGAGGGGGAGTGTGAGGGGGATGAGGAGGAAGGAATGGTGTGGGGTGTGGTGGCAGGGGTGGAGGGGCAGTTGAAGGAGCTCCAGGGGAAGGTGGAGTGGGCGGAGGGCAGGCGGAGGGAGGTCCAAGGGTGGGTAAGAGGGATGTGGGCGGAGCTGCTGCAGGCGCAGAGGCAGGTGAATAAGGCGAGTGAGGAAAACGCAGAGCAGAAAGAAAGTGCAAAGCGGGACGCAAGTGCCGAGCAGGAGGAGCAGGCGAAGAACGATGGAGGTGCCAAGTCACAGAGTGGGGGGGGAGAAGGAGAATGTGTGGGGAGGAGGGAGAAGGCAAGTGGTAGCGTGGGGAAGAGCCCTGCTGAAGAGGGACTGAGGGCCGTGATGGAGAGGAATGACGCACGGATACAGGAGCTAGAGCGGCAGGTGAGAGAGAGGGAGGAGCAGGTGGAGAGGACACGAGGAGAAAAGGAGGAGTTGGAGGGGAAAACTAAGGTGCTGGAAGTCAGGTGCACGGCCCTGCGGGGAGAGGTGGAGGAGAAGAACGAGTTGGTGAAGTCGCTTACAACGAGTATGGCGGACAGAGAGGCAAAGATGGAGAGGCTGAGGGCAGGGATTGAGGAGAAGGAGGGAAGAGTGAGGGAGCTGGAGGGGGAGGTGAGGAGGAGGGGGGAGAGGATGGTGGAGGTGGAAGGGGAGATGGAAGAGCAAGCAGTGCAGGTGAGTGCTCTGAGAGCAGAGATTCAGCAGCTGGAAACGATTAAGGAAGATCTTGAAGTGGCGGTTGGGAAGAAGGTGGGGAGAGTGAAGGAGGTGGAGGAGGAGAGGGAGAGGATGGGTAAGGAGGTTAAGATGTTGGAAGCGAGGGTGAGGGAGAGGGAGGAGAGGGTGAAGGAGGTGGAGCGGGTGTTGAGGGAGAGGGAGAGGGAGGAGGTGGAGAGGAGGGAGGAGGTGGAGGAGAAGGTGAGGAGGATTGGGGAGTTGGAGAGGGAAGGGGAGGAGAGGAGGGCGAAGGGGGAGGAACTGGAGAGGCAGTTAAGAGAGAAGGAGGAGGGGGTGAGGGAGGTGGAAGGGAAGTTAGAGGAGGAGCGGGAGAGAGTGAGTGAGAAAGAGGGGAGGATCGAGGTGCTGGAGAGTGAAGTGTGGGAGGCAGAGAAGAACGAGAGGGAGTTGAGAGAGGAGGTGGGGAGGAAGGAGGGGAGAGTGAGGGAGCTGGAGCAGGAGGTTAGGGCTGCAGGGGAGAGAGTGAGGGAGCTGGAGCAGGAGGTTAGGGCTGCAGGGGAGAGAATGAGGGAGCTGGAGCAGGGTGTGAGAGAGAGGGAGGAGATGGTGAAGGTAAAGGAACAGGAGGGGGGAGGGTGGAAGGCAGAGGTGGAGGCGAGAGAGAGGAGAGTGGAGATGCTGCAGGGTGACTTGGCAGCCAGCCACGCTGAGCTGGCAAGAGTCTGTGCTAAGGTGGCGCAGGAGCATGCTGAGGTGGAGGTAGCAAGATTGGCGATAGCAGAACTGGAGAGGAGGGTGAAGGAGGGGGAGGAGGAGAGGGCGCACGAGAGGGCGAGAGAGGAGGAAAGAAGGGCTAGGGAGCAGGAGGAGCGGGAGGAGCGGGAAGAGCGGGAGGAGAGGGACGAGAGGGTGAGAGCGTTGGAAGAGCAGGTGGCAGGAAAGGATGCGAGAATACGGTGGATGGAGAAGGCGGGCCTTGAGACGTGTGCGCGGCTGAGAGCAGCGCAGGAGGAAGTGCGGGCGAGGGAGGCGAGTATTGACGAGATGGTGCGGGAGGTGCAGGTGATGGGGCGACGGGTGGAGGAGGCCAGTGCGGAGGCGAGAGAAAAGGCAGAGAGAGTGAGGGAGCTGGAGGAGGTGGCGGGGGCGATGGAGAGGGAGAGAGAGGAGGAGGTGGGGAGAGAGATGGGAGGAGGTACTGAGGGCCGGGAGGTGGGTGAGGATAGGGGTAAAGGAAGGGAAGGAGAGGTCGGATTAGAGGAAAGGATGCATTCGGGAGAGGGGGGAGGGGAGGGGAGGGAAGGCATGGGGGGTTTGGGTGCAGCAGTGGGAGATGCGCAGGTAATGAAGGCAGATCCAATGGGTGGGGGAGGGGAGGAGAAGGAAGGGGAGAGTGTGGCTGGGGATGGAAGGGAGAGCAGTGACGTGGCTGTTGTGCGAGAGGAGATGCACGGCGGGGGGGGAGCAGGAGTGGAGGAAGGGGAGGAGGGGGAGGTGGCGATGCTGAGAGGGCAGGTGGGAGAGAAAGAAGCAAGAGTGAGAGAGCTGGAAGGAGAGGTGGAGGCGGTGAGAGGGGAGGCGAAGAAAGAGGTGGGGAGGAGGGAAGGCGTGGAGAGGGAGCTGGGGAAGGAGAAGGAGAGGCGGAGGATGGTAGAGTCGTCCAAAGCGCACCTCTTCCTGCAGCACCAGTCGCTGCAGGAGCAGATCTACAAGCTCAAGATGGTGGTGGAAGGGCAGAGAAGGGAGGTGGAGAGCAGGCAAGCGGCGGAGAGACGGGCCTTGGAGGAAGCAGAGGAGGCGGTGCGGGTGCAGGAGCAGCTGCAGGAGGTGATTGGGGAGAGAGAGAGGGAGCTGGAGGTGCTTGGGGAGGAGAAGGAGGCGGGCGAGAGGAGTTCAAGGGAGGAGGTGGAGGGGTGGAGGGAGAGAGTGAGGGAGATGGAGGGAGAGGCGGAGGAGAGGGGGAGGGAGGTGGTGAGGATGGTGGGGGAAATGGAGGGGTTGAGGGAGAGACTGGGAGGGGCGTACGGGGAGGTGGAGAGGGTGAGAGGGGAGAGGGATAGGCTGGAGGGGTTGGTGTGGGAGATGGAAGGAAGAGTGAGGGAGGTGGAGGAGGAGAGGGAGAGAATGGAGAGTGAGAAGAGGGAAATTGTGGAGGAGGTGGGGAGGGTGAGGGAGGAGAAGGAGGCGGTGGAGAGGAGAGTGGAGGAGATGAGAGAGGAGGAGGAGAGAGTGCGAGAGGAGGTGGAGGGATTAAGGGAGAGGGTGGTGGATCTTGAGGGGGAGGTGGAATGCGAGAGGAGGGCGAGGGGGGAGGCGGAGAGGGAGAGGGAGAGGGTGAAAGGGGAGCTGGAGAAGGGGAGGGAGGTGATGGTGGCGCAGAGGCAGCGCATGGGGGAGATGGAGGGCCGGGTGGTGAGAATGCAGGAAGAGTGTGAGGCCGTGCACGGGGTGGTGGGGGCGAGGGAGAGACGGTTAAGGGAGGTGGAGGATGAGAGGGAGAGGGTGAAGCTGGTCCTTGGGGGGGTTGTGGAGGAGAGGGAGGAGCTGAGGCAGAGAGTGAGGGGTTTTCAGGGAGAGGTGGAGGAGTTGAGAGGAGAGGTGAGGAGGAGGGAAGAGCATGGTGAGGAGGAGAGGAGGGCAAGGCGGGAGGTGGAGAGAGAGAGGGAGCGGTTGTCTAAGGAGGTGAAGGAGAGGGAGGAAGAGGTGAGGCGAATGAGAGGAAAGGTGGAGGGGAGGGAGAGGGAGGTGGAGGAGATGAGAGGGGAGAAGGAAAGGTGGAAGGGGGTAGCGGAGGAAAGGGAGCGGAAGGTGGGCGAGCTGGAAGGGAAGGTGAGAGAGGTGGAGGAGAGGGAGGTGGTATGGACGAAAAGGGAGAGTGAGTGGAAGGAGAGGGAACGGGAGTGGAAGGAGAGGGATGCAGAGTGGGAGAAACAGATGGAGGAAACTGGGAGGACTGTAGAGGGTGCAAGTGATGAGCTGAAATGGGCGAGAGAGCACGAGGAGGCCCTTGAAGAGAGGGTGAGAGAGGGGGAGGAGGAGGTGGAGAGGTTGAGAAGAGTGGTAGGGGAGATGGAACGCGAGAGAGAGGAATTGAAGGGACTCGTTGAGGGGGCGAAGGAGCGAGTGGGGGAACTGGAGGGGGAGGTGCAGGGAATGAGGTGCACAGCTGAGGAGATTGCGAGAGAGATGGAGAGGAGGGTGGAGGAGGAGAGGGGGAGGAGGATGGAGGAAGAGGGGAAGGTGATGGTGCTGCAACAGCAGCAGGTGGGTCGAGCAGCAGAGGGGGTTGTGCTGGTGGTGGGGGAAGTAGAGGAGGTGAGGGGGGAGTACGAGAGTCTGAGGGGAGAGAATGAGGAGTGGCCGAGGCAGCAGATGCAGCAGCAGATGCAGCAGCAGATGCAGGAGAGAATGTGCGTGGGAGTGGTGGGCGAGCAGCCAAGGGAAGAAAATGTGGGCAGGCTGCAAGGCGACGAGGTGGGAGAGAAAGAGGGGTTGGGAGCGGTAAGAGAGGAGGAGAAGCATTGTGAGGGGGTGGATGGAGAGAGTGAGGAAGTGGGAAGTTGGCAAGGGAAAGTTGGGCCAGAGAGTAAAGGGAAGGGCAAGGAGCACGAGGAACACGCAGCAGGGACAGCAGAGGCAGCAGAGGCGGCAGCAGTAGCAGATGCAGAGGCATGGGCGAGAGAGATGGAAAGGGCAGTGGAGGAATGGAGGGCTGCAGTGGAGATGGTGCAAGAAGAGCTGCGAGTGGTGAGAGCAACTATGGAGAGGGAAAGGGGAGAGCGGGAACGGGAGAATGACGTGAGGGAGAGGGAGAGGGAGAGAGAAAGAGAGAAGGCACAGGAGCAGGAAAGGGAGATAGAGACGCAGCAGGTGGCACAGGAGGAGGTAGAGGAGGAGATCAGGAGAGTGGTGAGGCAGCTACAGGTCGAGGTAGCTGTTGCCCGGACCGAAACAAGGAGGGCAGAAGCAGAGAGAAGGGCTGCTGAGGAGGCACGGGAGAGAGAGGTGCAGGAAAGGGAGAGAGTGCAGTGGGAGTGGAGGGAGAGGGAGGAGGTGGTGTGTGCGCTGATGCGGGAAGTGGAAGAGCTGAGAAGCGAGGGGAGGGGGAGGGAGAGGGAAGCACGGCAGCTGGCAGAGGCCGCAGTGAGAGAGCTGGATAGGCTGAGAGAGAGAGTGGAGGAGGTGGGCGCAGCAGCAGAGGAGGCACGGGTGCAGGTGGTGCAGGCGGAGGAAGGGGTGAGGGAGAAGGAAGGGAGAGTGAGGGAGATGGTGAGGGAGGTGGATAGGTGGAGGAGGGTGGTGGATGAGAGGGAGGAGGAGGTGGGGAGGGTGAGGAGGGAGGTGGAGAGTGCACAGGAAAGGGTGGAGAGGGAGGTGCAGGGGAGGAAGGAGGAGAGAGCGAGGAGGATGGCTGTAGAGGCGCGGTTGGCTGCCGTGGAGGGGACGGTAGGGAGGGGAAGCAGGCAGAGCATGATGAGAGATGATGAGTCGAGCGTCGACTTAAGCTTCTCAAAGAATATGGGAGATGAGTCGAGCACGGCCGGTGTGGGCGTTGGAATGTCCCAAGGGCAGCGTAATGCATCGTACAGGGCAGGTGGTGAGGATGGGTGGGTGGGGGTGCAAAGAAGGAGGAGGGGGGGGATGAGGTGGTGGTTGTGGCTGCAGTGCAGGGAAAGGTAGAGGAGGCATGGGTGGGGACAGCGAATGAGAGGGAGGAGTGGTCGAGAGAGAGGGAGGCATGGGGGAAGGAGAGGGACAGGTGGACGCAGGAGAGGGAAGGGTGGGAGGAGGAGAGGAAGGGGTGGGTGAGAGACCTGGAGAGAGCAAGGGAGGTGGTGGAGAGAGAGAGGGAGGTGAGGGTGAGACGAGAGAGGGAGGTTCAAGTAGAGATGGAGGAGAGGAGGAAGGGAGCGAGACGGCAGTTGGAGGAGGTGGAAGAGGCGTGGGTGAGACGAGTGCAGGAGAAGGAAGAGGAGTGGGAAAGGGAGAGGGGTGCGCTGAGGCTTGCACTGCTGGAAGTGAGGGATGGGATTGAGAAGGAGAGGGGGGAGAGGGGGGAGAGGGAGAGAGGGTGGAGAGAGAAGGAAGCGGAGTGGGAGAGGAGGGATGAGGAGTGGAGGGAGCGAGTGAGGGAGTGGATTGAGAGGGAGAAGGAAATCCAAGTGCGCTGGGAAGGGTTCTATAAGAGGGAGAGGAGGAGGAGGGAGAAGAGGGAGGCGGAGTGGAGGGAGAGAGAGAGGGAGCTCGCAGAGAGAGTGAGGGAGCTGGATTCAGGGCTGGCAGGAGTTGAGGAGGTGAAGGGGTTGCTGGAGGAGAGGAGGGAGATGGGGGAGAGGGGAGTGAGGGCGAGAGAGAGGGAGCAGGAGAGGCAGGTGAGGCAGGAGAGGGAGGTGAGGGAAGTGCATGAGGGGAGGGTGAGACAGCTGCAGATGATGCTGGCGCAGCAGGGGACAGAGGAGGGGAAGGAGAAGAGTGGATGGAAGGCGGAGGAGGGGGGCAGAGAGAAGGGTTTGGAAGAGAGGAGAAGGTGGGAAGGGACGGGCGTGACTGCGAACTATAGCACTGCTGGGGATGCTGACGCTGCTGCATCTGCTGCTGCGGTTGGGGCTGCTGCTGTTGCAGGTGCTGCAGCTGCTGCTGTTCCTGCTGCTGCTGCGTCGTCCGGCTGTGCAGATACTGTGGGGGCGTCTATCCACGGGCAGTCAAGCGGGCAGGCAGGGGAGAGGCAGCAGCGCAAGCAGGGTCGGGGGCGGAGGGGAGGCAAGGCAGTGGTGCTGCAGGAGTGGCAGGCGAGGGAAATAGAGGTGCACATGCAGCACATGGAACACGTGTGCAGGCGATTCCAGGTGGGTGCATGCGTGGTGGGTGCATGCGTGGTGGGTGCATGCGTGGCGGGTGCATGCGTGGTGGGTGCATGCGTGCATGCGCACTTTACTTTGCATGTAGTGCCTAAGAAAGCCAAAACCTCTGCGTTGATGGGTTATGATCCTACAAATGGGGAGCACGAGTGCTGGTACACGCGTATACATGTCTCTTTCTCCCATGTTACCGTGTGTGGCTGCGTGGTTGCCTCTGAAAGCATAGCTTGTTTGGGCTCTTGATGCCACCTCTGTCCGCCTGCCCACCTGGCTGCCTGCCTGCCCGCGTGCCTGCGTGTGTGCCTGCCTCCTGCCCCTGTGTTTTCCTGCCTTCGTGTCCCCCTCCTCGCCCGTCCCTCTCCCTGTCCTCTCCCCCTCGGCTCACCCGCCTTTTCCCCCATTCACATTTTTTAGTACTTTCAAAAATATGACTCCACTGGAGCAGGGGGCGCTTATGTAAGTGTGTCTAAGTTGCTGCCGCGTAGAAACCATGGCACCCCAGTGGTGTTCACTCAGATGAGCCCACTTGAGCAGGAGGCACCGGAGGCGAAGCAGCAGCAGCAGGCGGCGCGACTGCTACGTGCGACGGCTGTGCAGCTGATTGCCCCCCTCCTCTTCATCCTCTCCGCTCTCGCCCCGCCCCTCCGCTTTCCCGCCTCTCCATATCCCCCTCTTCAAATCTCTCCCCCCCTCATTGGGAATGGGAGCAGGAAGCTCTAGAGGCGAAGCAGCAGCAGGTGGAGCAGTGGCAGGAGGCGGTGAGGGGGGTGGTGAGAGGGGCGAAGGAGGAAAGGACAGCAGGGGATGCAGCCCTGCGCACACTCATGGGGGGTTTGGAGGCCCGTCACTCACAGTGAGGCCATTTATGTCAGTAAGCTCCTTTCTGTCAGTAAGCCAGTCAATATCAGTTAGAACCTGGGCTGTATCCGAACGGCATTCTCTCCTCCATTTCCCCCTTGCTCCACTTCCCTCTGCTCTCTCTCTCTCTTCGCCTCTGCCACCCTTCACTCACACAACCCCACTCTCCCCTCTTCCCACCCCTCCTCACTCTTCCCATTCCCCACCCGCACTCTCCCCCATATCACCCGCACTCTCCCCCATATCACCCTCACTCTCCCCCATATCACCCTCACTCTCCCCCATATCACCCGCACTCTCCCCCATATCACCCTCACTCTCCCCCATATCACCCTCACTCTCCCCCATATCACCCTCACTCTCCCCCATATCACCCGCACTCTCCCCCATATCACCCGCACTCTCCCCCATATCACCCTCACTCTCCCCCATATCACCCTCACCTCCCTTCTCACTGCAACAGATGACTACCCCCCTGCACCGCATCCCACGTCGCCTCTGCCCTCTCCTTCCACGAGCACCACACGCAGCTGCAGCGACTGGGAGAGCAGGCGAGAGAGCTGGTGGGGGAGATGCGGGGATGGGAGGACGGGGTGGCGGGGCAGTGGGACGTGTGGTGGGGACGAGCGCAGCTTTGGCGTCAGTGCGTCATGCAGCAGCCGCATCAGTTGCCGCACCATCAGCAGCAGCAGCATCAACAGGGGCACCTACAACAGCAGCAGCACCGTCAGCAGCACCACCATTGGCACCAGCGCCATCAGGCTCAGCTTTCCAGGTCACAGCATCAGCAACAGCAGTACCTGTATCTATTTGTCAGCTAACCACCTCCATCCCGCCTCCACATTTACCACCACCACCACCCGCATCACCACTACCCGCAGAAGACACTGATTCAACATCACTCACAATACAAACGCCAGCAGTAGCACCAGCACCATCACTGGCACAGCAGCACCATCAGCAGCAACAGCAATGGCAACAGCAGCTGCAAGTGAAGAAGGCGGAGCAGGGAGGGCGAGGGTGAGAGTGAGAGGACCTGCGATGGCAAGGAGAGTGAGTGGCAGCAGGGCCGAGCAGGAGCGGCAGGGGGAGAGTGTGAGCCAGACACCATGCCGCTCAGATGGCAGCAGAGAGAGAGCCAGAAATGGCGTCGAGTGGGGTGTGGGAGTGGAGGAATCAGGAGAGGGGGGTGCAGAAGGGCAGCAGGAGCAGCTAAAGCGGTGGGAGAGGACCGAAGCCATCCACCAGGTACCAGGAGGGGAGGAGGGGGCGGGTGACACACGATGGTGGGAAGGGTAGAGGGGTGTGTATGCCAGCTGGAGCATGCTGGTGGGTGGGTGGTGTGAGGAATTCTGGGCATTGGTGGGCATTTTGAGTGAGTGGCTTCAGGAGGAGGAAGAGGGGTTTGCTTTCATGCCCTGGCCCCACTTTCCTGCTCCATTCCCTCCTCTTCCCCCCCTTTTCTCTCTCTCTCTCAAGCGGTCCTTTATTATGATTATAAAGGGTACAGGGGTACACAAAGGGGGATGCATGTCCTAGGGCTCCAGGGCATCCTACTGCTGCCCGGGCCACCTGTCGCAGGTAGGTTCAATGGTGGCTTCTAGTTCTCCCCAGGTAAGGGGTTCGTCTAGGGGGCGGTCATGGCCGAAAGCCTGGCCTGTCGCCTGGCCAACTTTCGCATGGAGGGTGATTGCCTGTTGTCGCTGGAGGGTGACGGACCATCTCTGGCAGTAGCTGTGCAGTACCTTCTTTGCCACCGCCGATTTTTCGTCGGCCTGGTGGTTCCGGCGGGCTGAGAGGGCAGCCAGTACTCGGAGGAACTCGAGTGTGTCGGGGGAGCAGCAGCCATATGTCTCAGTGACGACTCCCAACACCTTCACGAAGGTTAGTCGTTCGTCGTACAGGTCCCGCTTCTTGCCCTGCATCTCTGCCGCCATCCACTCAGTCCCCTTTCGTGCTGTTGGGTCGCGGGTTGAGAGGGGGTCGGTGACTGTGACGTCACAGACCCATACCGCGCCTGAGTCCGGGCATCGGAGGGTGATGTCGGCGCGGCGTTGGGCAGTTCCAGGTAAGTAGAGCGTGGACTCCATGTGGGCCACGAAGTGGGATTCTCGGGCCAGTCGCATCCCGAGGTTCACGAGTGCGTCATGGGTCCACTTTGGACCCCCGCCCAAGGTGCATCGCAGCATGTGGTTGGGCAGCCGGTTGTCTGGTATCTCATGCTTTTCCCGGCAGTTGCATTTGCCGGGTAGGGAGTGCTGCAGGCCCATGCGGAAGGCTAGGGCCGTGGCAAATTGCCCCTTGCTCATGCTTAGGTCCGGGGAGAAGGGGATGGCGACCAGCCAGTCCCCTGCCCCCGGGCCGAGCAGGGAGAGGAGGCGCTGGGTGTGACCCAGGAGGGGGTTGAGTGGCATGCGTCTGGAGTCTGCCACTAGCCGTGCGTGCCTGGCCCCGTGTACCTCCAGTGCTAGGGCATGCTGGAGCTTGGCGCCAGGTTCGTTGCGCGGGCGGTTGAGTGTTGACTGCGCTGGTTCGGGGAGTGCCGCTTCCAGGCTGCAGAGCAGGTGATGTAGGGGCGTTTGGGCGGTGAAGGGCGGGGTGAGGAGGTGGAGGAGGTCGGCGAGGGGTGAAGAGTCGGGGGGTTCCATGGAGCGGAGGAGGTCGCCTGCCTGGAATGCGGAGGCCAGGTAGCTGTAGCTGCCTTCCGCGGCGGGGTCAATGAGGCCGAGGCCTCCTATGATGATCGGCAGAGTCGCCTGTCTCCAGAGGAGATCTCGGCCCTCAGCGTCGCTTCCAGTAGGGACTTCGCCCACTGCGTCCATTCCTCGGGCGGGAGGAGGTCGGTGGGGGTGGTGCGGAAGAGGTAGGATGCCCTCCTCGTGATGCAGCGGGTGAGGAGCGGCAGCGCGATTTGCGGGTGCAGCTGCTCTACCAAGGGTGCAGCTGCTCTACCAAGGGGAGAGCCGCTGCCGCTTTCCCCAGTGTGCGGCGGATGATGTCCCCGCATCCGTGATGGGTGCCGATGGGGCTGCCCAGGACCTTGATTGCGTCATGAGTGAGTGGTACTCCAGCGGGGATGAGCGCAGGATCTACCGGTGCGGGTGACCAGGCTGCGCATTTGCTGGCGTTGCAGGTGAGTCCGACCTCTGCCGCCCGTCCCGTGAGGGCATAGAAGGCGGCTGCGCAGGCCGGCGGCGGGCTGATGATGGTCACGCCGTCGGCGTATGCCAGGAGGAGGACGTCTGGGTACTCCTCTGCTGTCGTGCGCAGCGCCTAGTGGAGGGCGAGGGTGAACAGCATGGGGCCCAGCGGGTCGCCTTGCCGTACGCCCCTCTCGCTGATGAGCGATTCAGCGCCGAAGGCGTGGTCAAGCAGCAAGCTCGATGGCCTTCCATAGGAGAGGCGGGTTAGTGGCATCAGGCCCTTGAGCGAGCTGTCGCGTAGGGCGCGGAAGGAGGCTGTGCGTTCGACAGAGTTGAACGCGTTGGAGAAGTCCACCTGGAGGAGCAGGTGGTCGGGGTGCTGTTCGAGGTGGGTTCTTGTTGCGTGTACCACCGTTTCGCCGCCTCCCTTCATCGCCACTCCGAACTGTAGGGGCACGAAATGGGCTTGGGCCAGGGTCGTCGTGAGGTGCAGGCTTACCTTGCCGAAGAGGCGTAGTAGGCATTCGCCGATGGCGATGGGCCTGGTGCTGCCATCGGGCTTGGTGAATGCCAGCAGTCTCGAGGCGGTGAGGAGGTCCGCTGCCTCTAGCGGCACTTGCCCCGTGAGTGCCGCGTTGGTCGCTTCTGTGAGCAGGTTCAGGACGTCGGCGTTTGACGCGGCGGCGTCCCTCAGGTGTTCAAAGCACATTCCGCTGGGCCCCGCCCCAACCCTATTCGGGCTGCGTCGTAGTGTGGCTTTGAGCTCCAGCGGTGTGATGCTGAGACGCGGCGGCTGCGGCGCAGGGGCAGCGTCAGTAGGTGTTGTGCTTTCAAATGTCGCCCAGTTAGGGAGGGCGTGTTCGGCGGCGGGGTGTTTGTCTCGGAGGGCGTTAAGTGTCTCCAGGGTGGGTTCGCACACCGGGGTGGATTCCAGGGCTTGGAGGGCCTTTCGCAGGTTCCCGCGCTTTGTGAGTGTTTCCGCTCGGGCCAAATGTCCGGTGGTGTCGTTCGCGTGACGTGGAGGTCGTGGTAGTGAAATCGAGGTCATGGCCTCGTCGTACAGTGACTCCCAGGCGCCAGTGGCGAATTTGCGACAACGTCGTAACATTCCATCCCAATCCGGCTTCCTCGTCGACGTAGTCGCGATGGTCAGGCGAGGGAGGAGGAGTAACAGGCGCCAACCTCCTCTGCTGTCCCTGTTAGGCGCAAGGTGCAGCAGTGGTGTCAGCAGGCAGGACGCGAACTCCTCCAGGATTTCGCGCGGTAAGCGACGTGCCAGGGGTGGGAGCCTGGAGTCGCGGAGCGCAGTCATGTCCCACTCGCACACTTTGGCGAAGAGTTCGTCGTTCCTCGCCAATGCCAGAAAGGATTGTACCCGCGCTGCAGGGGTTGGTCTGCGGGCGACTGCCGAGCCGCGGCGGGTGTTGGATGTGGCGGTTCGCCGATTGGATTGGCCGGGCCGCACATTTGCGTCTCGGGCGGGGGAGTTCTCCAAATCTCCCTCGTACGGTGCGCCTTCCCAGTTTACCCCATTTGGGGGGGTACAAGTGGGGTCGTTTACGTGTTGAATTTCGTAGTCCTCTTCATCTGCTTCTTCCGTATTCCCTTCCGCCGCTCCCCGTGTAGCTCCTCCTCCTGGTGTGTCTGCTGCTGCTGGAGTATCATCACTTAACCGGTTTCGCTCATCTCGATCCATACCCCCGTGCCTGCCTGCTTCTGCTTCTGCCTCTCTGCTGGCGTTGGGTGCTTCCTCGGTTGGGGTTGCTCCCCGGCGTCGTTCTTCGCGTTGTAGTCGCGCAGCGACGCCGCGGAAGGTTGCAGCGTCTCGCACAAGGTTCTCCCTCCGGCATCTCGCTGGCTCTGTCGCCAACGTCCCAGCTGCGCTTGGAGTTTCGGCAGCAGCAGGTCCAGGTGGCAGCGATCGTGGGCGCCCTCGAGCAGCTTCTGCGGCTGCCTTGACCCGCTGTTGGCGACCAGGTCGCACGTTCTCCGATGTCGCCTGTGCCTCCGCCCGTGGCTGCGCGGGCAGGTTGCAGGGGAAATCCCATGGATCGCTCCCCGCGTCGCCCGTCTGCCTTGTCGCCGGTTCAGCCGTCGTCGTTTCCTTCTCTGCCCCCTCCGCTTCCGTCCCAGCTTCCGCCGTCGCCCCTTCCGGCCCCACCGGCTCCTCCTCCGTCGTCGCCATCTTCCGGCGGTCCCGGCTCTTCTCCCTGCGGGGTCCTCTGTCCGCCTCATCTGCCTCCTCCAAGGTCGCCAGCGGGACCACCAGCTGCTGGCGGACCCGGCGGCGTGTCGGGTCAGGGCGTGTCCAAGGGATCCCCGTCTCTGCCGTTTTGTCCGGCGAAGCGTCCCCGCGGTGGCGCGGCGTCGGGCTCTCGGGCAGGGTCACCTCAGTCCGCGCTGCCCGGAAGACGAAGGGACCTCTCTCCGCCCTTCCCTGGTCGTCCTCGCGGGTCTGGATTGCTGGCGGGGCGGGGTATGCCGCCGTCCTCGACGGCTGCGTTCGGCGGCCCGCCATCGCTTCCTCGTCCGCCGGTCTGCCTGACGCCGCCGCAGGCGTTCTCGCCGGTTGAGGCGATGGCCGGCGTCGTCGCGTGTATTGGCGCGGTGGCGGAGGTGCTGGATTGTCTCCGCCCCCCGCCGCTGCAGGTACCTCCCCGAAAGCCTGAGGCGGGTCGGTCGTGGCGGCCTGCGATGCCTCGCCGCCAGCAGCGACGCGCGATGGAGGCCGCGTCGCTACTCCTCTGGCGGCTGGCCTATGGGTTGCCGCCAGGAGCAGAGGCGGGGGAGCTGGATGCTCCTCGCGCTGTCGATGAGTTGAATCGGTCGTTCGTGGCGAATCAACGCCCGGCGATCTTGGCCGCTTGCGCGGCGGTGCTTCAGGCTTTGGAGAGTCGGGCCGGAGCCCTCGTCCCGCCGTTGGCGTTGGAGGTGTTGTAGGTGGGCGGTTGTCTGGCGAGTAGGCCAGGTCCCCGCCATTGTGTGCTGTGGGTGGCGCCGTAGCCATAGGTTGTTGGCTAGAGGAGTAGCGCCAGAGCATTATATACCATGGGCTCTCTCGAATGGTCCTTTGTTGCTGGGGAATCCTGGGTACATGCTAGGCAAGTGGAGCAGGCACAGGTAAATACTGCCGGTGGGGAGGTTTAGTACCCGGCCCTACCACTCCTCCCCCCCCCCTCCTAGGGTTCTATCACGGCGAAGCAGTCCCCGAGGGACATGCCCGTTTCAGGTCCCCCCAAGGGGGGCCACTCCAGCGGTGACGCTTCGTTCCCCTTCCCCAGGTAGGTTAGTGCCTGTCCCCTTTGGAGGGTGACGGACCAGCGTTGGCGAAACTGGTTAAGTAGTTTCGCCGCCTGGTACGAGCTGGGGTCAGCGTTGAAGAGGCGCCAGGCGGCCATGTGTGCCAAAAGTTTCAGGAAAACTGGCACTTCCGCGCAGGGGCAGCCGTATGTCTCGACAGCAAGCGGGAAGAAGCCGACGTACTCTGCCCTGTGGCGGTACATGTCGATCTTCTTGTCCGCCTGCTCCCTGGCCATGTAACCGCGTCCCTTGCGGGCGAGGGGGTCCCTGGAGCTGACTGGGTCCGTGACAGTGACGTCGCAGATCCAGACCGTTCCCGAGTCCCGGTCCCGGATGGCTAGGTTGGCGGTTTTGCCGTCGACCGGGTTGTATAGGGATGTCTCTTTCGAGACAATGAGCTGCGCGTCTTGGCCCATACAGATGCATTCATCCTGGAGGGCGTTGTGTGTATCAGTGTGTCCGCGTCCCGTCCCGCAGCGAAATAGGTGGTTGGGGAGCCTTGGATCCGGGATCATGGTCTTCTTGGCGCAATTGCACACTTTTGGCGCTGGGAAGGGGAGGCCCAGGCGGAAGGCGAGGGCTATGGCGAAATGAGGGGGTGCCAGCCTGAGTGATGGGAAGAGGGGGACTGCGAGGAGCCAGTCCCCTGCTCCGTACCCTGTGAGGGAGAGGAGCCGCTGCGTGTGACCGCTGAGGGGGTTGGGCTCCATGTCCCTGGTCGCCTCCAGCTGCTCGACGAACCGGGCAGCATGGACCTCTAGGGCGAGGCGGTGCTGGAGTGGTGCATCTGAGGGTTCCGTGGGCTCGGCACGCAGGAGTTCCAGGGCGAGGGCCGGTAGTGCCGCTTCGCACTCGGCTAGCCAGGTGTGGAGGGGGGTAGGGCTGGCGTAGGGTGGTGCGAGGGAGCGGGCCACTGTCCCGAGGGGGGCAGATGGGTCCGAGGCGAGGGAGGCCAGGAGCCGTTGGGCGTGGGCGACGCTGGTAAGGAGGGCATGAGGTCCCGCTACTGTGGGGTCCGTCAGCCCGAGCCCTCCGAGGGAGGGGGGGAGCGAGGCTTGTTGCCAGGTGCGCGCCATCTCCTGTTCCCCCCGTGGGAGCTGGAGATTGCAAGCCCTCAGGAGGGTGTGGTAGAGTTGCTGCCCCCACTGGGACCACTCCTGTGCTGGTAGCAGGTTCAGCGGCGTCGTGCGAGTCAGGTAGGAGACTCGACGAGAGACGCAGCGGTGGAGGAGGAGGCTGGCGGACTGGGGGTCCATGGCTGCCAGGGTGGGCAGTGGCTTGGCCATCGCGGCTAGTTGCTCGCGCAGGAAACTGGCTGCTGCATCTGGTGGACCGATATGGCTGCCCAGGATCCGCAGCCCGGAGGCGCAGAAGGAGATCCCGGGGGGGAAGGGGTCGGGGGGGGGGTGGGCCGCGGACCACGCTGCGCACTTAGCCGCGTTGTGGGTCAGGCCCAGGGGGAGTAGCGCGTGGGTGAGGTGGGCGAATGCAGCTGTGCATGCAGCCGGCTCCCCCATCAAGGTTATGTCGTCGGCGTATGCCAGGCAGAGGACGCCGGGGAACGCTTGGGCGGTCTCTCGCAGGGCGGGGTGCAAGGCTGCGGAGAAGAGCAGGGGTCCCATGGGGTCCCCTTGCCTGACGCCACGGGCGCTGAGGAGGGGCTGGCTGTCAAAGCCCGCGTCCAGGAAAAGAGTGGAGGGGGCGCCATAGGACAGGCGCACGAAGGGGAGGAGGGGGTGGAGCGGGGAATTGTAAAGTCCCGCGATGATGGCCCCCCGGTCGACGCTGTTGAAAGCGTTAGAAAGGTCGAGTTGAAGAAGGAGGGCAGACGGGAATTCCGTGGCGAAGGCTCTCGCGCCATGGATTATCGCCTCGCCGCCGGCCCTTACCGCCACACCGAACTGTAGTGGGAGGAAGTGGCTTTGGGCAGGCTCGTTCATGGCGGCGAGGCCTGCTTTTGCTACCAGGCGGTGGAGGCATTCGCCCACTGCAATTGGGCGCGTGCCTCCCTCGGGCTTCGGGAAATCTAGCAGGCGGCTAGCTGTGAGGAGCCCAGCTGCCTCTGGGGTGGTGGATCCTTTTAGGAGGATTTGTGCTACCCCGTGCAGATTGCTGGCGACTGAGGCGTTCGCGAAGGCTGCGTCGCGGAGATGTTCGAAACACATGCCCGACGGTCCGGCGCCAACTCCGTTTTCGCTGCGGCTGAGTAGCCGAACGAAATCGGCCAGCGAGATGGAGGGGAGGGGCTCGGACTCGTCGAGGGCGGGCCAGTCAAGGGACTCGGTCAGAGGGGGGGGGTGTTTGGAGGTCAGCGCGGCGAGGACCTCCGGCGTTGACTCGCTGACCAGCGTTGAGTCCAGCGCCAGCAGGGCACGCCTGAGGCTGCCACGACGGACGAGGCCCTCGGCGCGGGATATTTTGCCGAGGGTGTCGCCGGAGTGTCGTGGTACAGGTGGGTTGTTTATCGCGTCAACTGCTGCCAGGTACAGCGATTCCCATTCGCCGGCCAAGAACTGCTGCAGTCTCCGCTCGATCGCTGGCCAATCTGGGTGGCGTGGCGAATTGAGGCGAAGGGTGAGCCTGGGTGTGAAGAGTAACAGGCGCCAGCCAGCGAGGCTGGATGGGTTTTTTGCGATGTGGAGCAGAGGTTGAAGGAACTAGCTTGGAAGAGAAAAGATTGAATTGAGTAGGGAGCCAAGAGGCTCTTTTGTACAAAACAAGGAGCAAGGAAGAGTTGGAAGGGAAGCTCTCCTATTGGCCATAAAGTGGACCAATGGGAGAGGTTGCTTGTAGGGCAAGCAACCACAAAGTGTTGTGCTCTCTGATTGGCTACAATGTGGACCAATGAGAGACATTGCTTGGAAGGCAAGCAACCACAAAGTGTGGTGCTTGGTGATTGGTTGGTTCCTAGGACCAAGGACCATTTGGTTGGAATAGTGCCAACCAAATGTCTAGGACCAAATCCAATCTTGACCAACCCAAATGTGGGGTTGGTCAACCCAACCAACAACCCCCCAATAATTATAATGACTACACCTCCTAATCTAGGCATGCATGTTGTATAGATATATATTTTACAACAGACGTGTCAGGAGCGCCAGGGCGAAAAGCTGGCGTAGTTTGTGGGGGATTCGACGGGAAAGGGGGGGCTAGCGACTGTCGCAGAGCAGTCCGATGTCCCAATTGGCGATCCCCGTGAAAAGGGGTTCATTGTTCGCCAGGTCTTCTGGCGAGAATTGGCGCGAAGGTTGGTTGGGTTGTGTCTCGCTGTCCCAATAATTCCGCCTATGCGGCGCTTGCCGCTCCCTTTGATTCCGCCCTGCCTGCCTTTGTCTTCGATCAGGTCTATCGCGTTCGTCATCCTCAGCTGAATCCTCCGTGCTAGTCTCTTCCCTTGCCTCCTGCCTATAAGTGGCATCCGCACGCTCCTCAGCAGCATTCGTGTTTTCGGCTGCGTTTTCTCTTAAAGCCCTTCCCACAGCCCTGAGTGTGAGCAATTGCGCCCGCCATTCCCGCCACCTCCCCTGGCGGCACCGCGGCCCACCGCGCCGCTGGCAGCGCTGCAGCATTTGCCGCCTGGGGTCCCGTATCCTGCCCTGCGTCCTGCTGCGCACCAGCCGCCCCCGCGCATGCTGATCCCCTCCCCCCCGGGTTACTACGATGCGCACCATCGATCCCCGCCAGCGCCTCAGATGGGCAGCTCTGCATCGTCCGCCGACACTCTCCCAGAGTGGCGTCCCTCCTCGCTCTGGGCTGAGGCAGTGTAGTGGGCCGGTCCCCAGGTGGGGCTCTACCGCGGAGGGGGTGTGGTCGGCCCGTTCGTCCCCCCCCCGGCGGCATGCGCCGTCCCCACAGGGTGTAGAGGCGGGGGCAGAAGCAGCGGAGACGGAGGGAGCGGAGTCGTCGGGGGAGGGGTCTCCCCATCGGGCCCGAGGGGCCGGGGCGGCGGCGCGGAGGAGCTCGCCGACGGTGGGGCTGGTGCCGGCGGCTCCCGGGGCGATATCGGTCCCAGCCGCCACACTTCGTCGCCTTGGGCATGCGTGGAGGGGGACGGAGATATTGGTGACGATTCTGGCGGCGACGAGCTCCGTTCTGGGGAGCTCAGCGGGCCGGTCAATGGCCCCGTACTTTCCCCTTCAGGGCTGCATGGAAGCAGCCATAGATCTCGCTGTAAAGGCTGCGCGCGCGCGGCCCGGGCCCGCCCGGGGAACTGGCACGGACCCTCGTCTGCTCGCCGCACTCCGCCAGGTATCGGCGAGCATAGACCCGACGTCAGCTGCAGGACTTGTAGCCGGCGCCGTGTCCACGCTGCAGGTCCTGGTGTCGTACCAGGCCGCGTTGCTGGAGGAGGCTGGGCTGGCGGCTGCCGCGGAATAGCGGACCGGCGGGAGTAGGTGCAGCGGGGCGGAGAGTCCAGCAGTCCGAGCGCCCTCGTGCGGCGGATCAGACCCTCCATGTGTGTTGTGGAGGCAATAGTTGGGTCTCGTAGGATGCTGTTGTGTACTATCGTTGAGTGCTATGTTGTGTTGGTGTCGCTTGCCATCCCCTAACCGCGCGGCCGGAGGCCGCGCCGCGAGCGACGGCGGCCGAAGGCCGCCGGCGCGAGCCGAAACCAAGGAGAAGACAAGAGAATGAATGGAAACCAAACAAGGAGAATGGGGAGAGAGAGGGCCTTATATAGCTGAGAAAAGGCTCATGCTCTCTCTCTCTCTCTCTCTCTCTCTCTCTCTCTCTCTCTCTCTCTCTCTCTCTCTCTCTCTCCTTCTCTCTCTCTCCTCTCTCTCTCTCTCTCTCTCTCTCTCTCTCTCTCTCTCTTCTCTCTCTCTCTTCTCTCTCTCTCTCTCTCTCTCTCTCTCTCTCTCTCTCTCCTCTCTCTCTCTCTCTCTCTCTCTCTCTCTCTCTCTCTCTCTCTCTCTCTCTCTCTCTCTCTCTCTCCTCTCTCTCTCTCTCTCTCTCTCTCTCTTCTCTCTTCTCTCTCTCTCTCTCTCTTCTCTCTCTCTCTCTCTCTCTCTCTCCTCTCTCTCTCTCTCTCTCTTCCTCTCTCTCTCTCTCTCTCTCTCTCTCTCTCTCTCTCTCTCTCTCTCTTCTCTCTCTCTCTCTCTCTCTCTCTCTCTCTCTCTCTCTCTCTCTCTCTCTCTTCTCTCTCTCTTCTCTCTCTCTCTCTCTCTCTCTCTCTCTCTCTCTCTCTCTCTCTCTCTCTCTCTCTCTCTCTCTCTCTCTCTCTCTCTCTCTCTCTCTCTCTCTCTCTCTCTCTCTCTCTCTCTCTCTCTCTCTCTCTCTCTCTCTCTCTCTCTCTCTCTCTCTCTCGAACGGTCCGTCGTTGATGGGCAATCCTGGGTACAAACTAGGCATGCCGGATTGGTACAAACTGGTGTCTCGGCTCAGGTGAGTCTACTCTCGTTCGCCCTGGTGCTCTATCACTGCAAAACAGTCTCCAAGGGACATGCAGGCGTCCGGGGCGCCCAAGGGGGGCCACTCAAGGGGAGAGGCCTCGTTCACCTTCCCCAGGTACGAGAGCGCTTGTCCCCGTTGGAGTGTGATGGACCAGCGTTGCCGGAACTGGCTGAGCAGTTTTGCGGCTTGGTAGGAGCTGGGGTCGGCGTTGAAAAGGCGGCGGGCGGCCGTGTGCGCCAGGAGTTTGAGGAAGGTGGGCACCTCGGCGCAGGGGCAGCCGTATGTCTCTACCGCCAGCGGGAAAAAGGCGACGTACTCCGCCCGGCTGCGGTAGTCGTCGATCTTTTTGTCGGCCTGCTCTCTGGCCATGTAGCCGCGGCCTTTACGGGCTAGCGGGTCTCGTGAGCTGACCGGGTCGGTGACGGTGACATCGCAGATCCACACCGCCCCCGAGTCCCGATCCCGGATGGCAAGGTCGGCGGTTTTGCCGTCGACCGGGTTGTAGATCGCCGTCTCTTTGGTGACGATGAATTGGGCGTCCTGTGCCATGCGGATGCACTCGTCCCTGAGTGCGTTATGGGTGTCGGTGCGGCCGTGTCCGGTCCCACAGCGGAACAGGTGGTTCGGGAGTCGTGGGTCCAGGATCTGTACCCGCTTGGTGCAGTTGCACACCTTGGGTGCGGGGAAGGGGAGGCCCAGGCGGAATGCCAGGGCTATGGCGAAGTGCGGGGGGGCGAGGCGGAGGGAGGGGAAGAGTGGGATAGCGAGGAGCCAGTCTCCTGCGCCATAACCGGTGAGGGAGAGGAGCCGCTGTGTGTGGCCGCTCTTGGGGTTGAGTTCCATCTCCCGGGTGGCCGCCAGCTGAGCAGCAAACCGTGCCGCGTGGACTTCCAGGGCGAGTCGGTGCTGGAGGGGCTCGTCTGAGGGCTCCAGGCGCTCGGCTCGCAGGAGCTCCAGGGCCGGGGCCGGGAGGGCTGCCTCACATTCCGCCAGCCAGGTGTGAAGTGGGGTGGGGCTGGTGTAGGGGGGTGCGAGAGCACATGCGGCGGTCGCCAAGGGGCCGGTGGGGTCCGAGGGGAGGGAGAGCAGGAGCCTGTGTGCCTGGGCCACGCTGGTCAAGAACGCATGTGGACCGTCCACTGCTGGGTCCACTAGGCCGAGGCCCCCTAGGGAGGGTGGGAGTGAGGCCTGCTCCCAGGTGCGTGCAAGTTCCCGCTCTCCCCGTGGTGTCTGGAGTTTGCAGGAGCGGAGGAGGGTAAGGAAGAGCTCCCACCCCCAAATGGACCATTCCCCCTGTGGGAGCAGATTCAGTGGGGTTGTGCGGGTGAGGTAAGATACCCGCCGCGCGACGCAGCGGTGGAGGAGGAGGGAGGCGGACTGGGGGTCCATGGCGGCGAGGGCGGGGAGCTGCCTGGCCATGTCAGCCAGCTGCTCGCGCAGGAACTGAGCCGCAGCCTCGTGGGGGCCGATGTGGCTGCCCAGGACCCGCAGTCCAGAGTCGCGGAACGGGATGCCGGGGGGTAGGAGGGAGGGGGGAGGTTGGGATTGGGACCAGGCCGCGCACTTAGATGGGTTGTGCGTGAGGCCCAGGGGGGTCAGAGCGTCAGTGAGGTGCGTGAACGCCGCTGTGCACACTGCCGGCTCGCCTAGCAGCGTGATGTCGTCAGCGTACGCTAGGCACAGGACGCTGGGGTACGCTGCGGCGGTCGCTTGCAGGGCGGGGTGCATGGCGGCGGCAAAGAGCAGCGGGCCCATAGGGTCCCCTTGCCGGACGCCTCGAGCGCTGAGCAGGGGCGGGCTGTTGAAGCCGGCGTCGAGGTACAGCTGGGAGGGGGCGCCGTACGAGAGTTGGACGAAGGGTAGGAGAGGGCGGAGGGGGGAGTTATAGAGGCCCGAGACGATGGCGCTGCGATCAACGCTGTTAAAAGCGTTGGTGAGGTCGATCTGCAGTAGGAGCGAGGATGGTCGCTCGGTGGCGAACGCGCGGGCCCCGTGGATTATTGCCTCGCCGCCGGCCTTCACCGCGACGCCGAACTGCAGTGGGAGAAAGTGGTTGCGCGCCCGATCCGCCATCGAGATGAGTCCTGCTTTGGCAGCAAGGCGGTGGAGGCACTCGCCCACGGCGATGGGGCGCGTGCCTCCGTCGGGTTTAGGGAAGGCGAGTAGGCGGCTGGCTGTGAGGAGTGCTGCTACGTCAGGAGTGGAGTCGCCCCGCAGCAATTGAGTTACGAGGGTGTGGAGCTTGCTGGCGACGGCGCTGTTGGCGAGGGCTGCATCGCGAATGTGTTCGAAGCACATTCCCGAGGGGCCCGCGCGGACCCCGTTTTCGCTGCGACTCAGTAACCTGGTGAACTCTGCGAGCGTGAGGGAGGGGGGGACCTCCGACTCATCGATGTGTGGCCAAGCGAGTGACTCAGTCAGCGGCGGTGGATGCTTGGTTTTCAACGCCTCGAGGACTTCCTGGGTTGACTCGCTGACCGGTGTCGAGTCGAGGGCCAGCAGGGCGCGCCTCAGGCTGCCTCGGCGGACCAGCCCCTCGGCTCGAGATATTTTGCCGAGGGTGTCCCCTGTGTGACGTGGCGCCGGTGGGTCGTGGATGGCGTCCACTGCTGCCAGGTAAAGCTCGTGCCAATCGCCTGCCAGGAACTGCTGGAGCCTTTTTTCCACGGTGGGCCAGTCAGGGTGCTTTGGCGAGTTGAGGCGAAGTGTCAGTCGAGGTGCGAAAAGTAACAGGCGCCAGCCTGGCAGGCTGGTAGGTTGGGCTGCGAGGTGGAGGAGGGGTGTCAGCAGGACGAGGGCGAAAAGCTGGCGAAGTTTGGGGGGGATCTTGCGGGAAAGGGGGGGTTGGCGACTGTCGCAGAGGAGCCCGATATCCCAGCTGGCTACCCCCGCGAAAAGCTGTTCGTTGGCGGCTAGCTCTGCTGGCGAAATTTGTCGCTGGGGTTGGCTGGGCTGTTCTGTGCGGTCCCGCTCGTTCCGTGCGTTCGGCCTGTTTTCAGCCGCGGGAGCTGGGGCGTGCCGTGTGCGTCGCGACGCATGTCCCCGAAATGCTCCGTCTCGAGCGTCCCCTTCGGATCCCTCAGTGCTTGACTCGTACTGTGATTCCTCTCTATAAGTCGGGTCCCTCCTCTCCTCCTCGTCAGTTGCTTGTTCCCTCCGTCTCGCCCTTAAAGCCCGTCCTGCAGCCCTCTGGAAGTCGTTCACTGGCCCTCCCCCTGCCATGAGCTCGTCTGCCCTGCTGCGCTCTCTCCGTTGACCTCCACCCCGTCCCGGGTCTCCTCGCGGCGTTTGTCGCGGCCCGAGGCGCGTCGCTGCCGTCGGTGGGGTGCGGCGGTGAGTGCTCGATGGGAAGCGAAGGGGGGTTTCGCGGCCGTCAGGGGCGATCCGCCGATCTGTCGAGCTCGGCTGATAGCGGGCGCCCCCAAGATCTGGCGAGCTTGGCCGCCTACTCTGCGCCGTTGTGGGAGCGGGGGATCCCCGCTCTCCGAAGCCAGCGGCAGACGCCAGACCCCGTGTGTTCCCGTGCGGGGAGTGGTTCGGCGGCGCCTGCTCTGTGCGGCGAGCAGGGAGGGACCCTGGGGTCCGAGCGCGCAGAGCGTAGCGGTGGCCCAGCGGGGTCGTCGCCTCGCCACCCGCTGTCTCGGCCGCCGTCACCGCGCCCGCCGTCTCGGCCGCCCTCCCCCAGTCTGCGTTCGTGCTATTCGTCCCCACGGCGTCCGTCGCGTCCCGCCTCCCCGCGTCCGCCGTCGCGTCCGGCGTCCCCGCGTCGGCCGTCGCGTCATTCGTCGCCGTCGCCACCATCCCACGCTCTGCCTCAGCGGCGGACCGAGCCGCTGCCGTCCTTGCAGCTGCCGTCGCGTCGCTCTCCCCCCCCGCAGCCGGCTCCCTGCCGATCTCCGGGCCGTCTTGGTCCGCCTGCTGCACAGCCCTGGGGGACTCCTGGGGGCGGCGGCCGTGCTGGACCGCGTCGCGGCCGTCGCGCCGGCCTTGCCGCCGGACGGCGGCTCTTGAGCGCCAGCTGGCGACCAGCGCGCGGCCCTTGAAGGCATTCTAAGTGGCGTTCAGGCGCTTGCTTCGACCGCGCCGGATGGGAGGGGCTGCACAGACCGCGCCCGGTGCGTCGCAACCGCGTCCGTGTCATCCGTTCCCGCCTCTCCTCGCCCCTCCGCATCCGCCGTCGCTGTTCCGGCGAGTGCGCCCGTGTGTTTCCAGCCGGCGTCGGCGCTCCTGGGACCTCCGCCGCTGTGTACCGCGGGGCTCGTCTTCCCATGGCGCCTCCCACACTGGACACACCGGCGGCCTCCAGTGGAGCGCTCCGCCGAGTGGCAACCACCTCCGCAGTCCTTCGTCCCCGATCACTGGGCTCCTGGGCTTCCCGCCCGTGCGTCGGGTGTGGGGGTGTATGGGCCCTTCGTGCCACCCCGTCGACTGGCGGTGTCCCCAAATGGAGTTGAGGAGGGGGCAGAAGCAGCGGAGACGGGGGGGATGGAGTCGTCGGAGGAGATCTCCCCCGGGTTCCGTGCCCAGTCCCGGACCCAGCGCCCAGTGGGTACGCAGAGCCAACCGGGGGCGCAGGAGGACGAGTCTGCCGGGCAGGCCGGCAGACGGGGCAGGTGGTCGCGGTTCCAGCAGCCACGTTCCGTCGGATGTGCCAGACGAGGAGGGCGTTTGGGCTGCTGGCGGTGGTCGTGGAGGCGACGCACTCCGCGCTGCTGGGGTCAGAGAGCTCCCGAAAGATGCAGCACTCACACTTGCGGACGAGTTCGGACGCGCTTGCGGACCTCGTGGTGGTGATGGGCAAGCGCTGCCCGTGCCCGGCCCGGGAAATGGCTTGGACCCGGCCGTGGCCGCCGCAATGAAAGCGATGTCGGAGAGCATCGCGTTGGCGTCAGCCGTAGATCTCGCAGGCAGCTGCGCGTCCACGCTGCGGGTGCTGGTGGGCCTACTGTCGGCGCAGCTGGAAGAGGCTGCGGGGTTCGAGTGACGGGGTGGCGTCTCGCGTACGTTCGCGGCCGGCCCGCGTCAGCGGCCGTCTGGGAGGTTGGCGAGCGTCCCGTCAGTAGTAGGAGTCCCTCCATGCTGGTGGCATTGGAGCGGGCGCTGTAGGGATTTGTTGTGCCCTTGGGGCTTGGTGCTTGTATTGAAAACGGAGTAGTCGTTTCCTGGTGTTCTTGCCGTCCCGAACGCGCGGCCGGAGCCGCCGACGCGAGCCGCTGGCAAGGAAGGAGAAATGAGAACTGAACTAAAAACAGCGGAGAATGAGAGGGAGAGGGCCTTATTTAGCTTGGGAACCCATGCTCTCTCTCTCTCGCTCTCTCTCTCTCCTCTCTCTCGCTGGCAAGGAAGGAGAAATGAGAACTGAACTAAAAACAGCGGAGAATGAGAGGGAGAGGGCCTTATTTAGCTTGGGAACCCATGCTCTCTCTCTCTCGCTCTCTCTCTCTCCTCTCTCTCGCTGGCAAGGAAGGAGAAATGAGAACTGAACTAAAAACAGCGGAGAATGAGAGGGAGAGGGCCTTATATAGCTTGGGAACCCATGCTCTCTCTCTCTCGCTCTCTCTCTCCTCTCTCTCGCTGGCAAGGAAGGAGAAATGAGAACTGAACTAAAAACAGCGGAGAATGAGAGGGAGAGGGCCTTATATAGCTTGGGAACCCATGCTCTCTCTCTCTCTCTCTCTCTCTCTCTCTCTCTCTCTCTCTCTCTCTCTCTCTCTCTCTCTCTCTCTCTCTCTCTCTCTCTCAAGCCTAGCCCACAGGGGCCTAGGACCTGCTACCCTCACGGCTCCTACTCTCTCTCTCTTTCCTATCCTAGCCCTCAAGAGCCGTCGTGACTGGGGGGATCTGCTAGTCACGGCTGAGTAGACATGAGCAGGGTAGACATGGTTAAAATGCGATGCGATGCGATATCGCATCGCATTTTGTCATATCACGCCTGATATCTCAGCGATGCGATATCGCATCGCTGCGATATTCTGTTTAGAAAATTGAAATCGCATATCGCTTTTTAGGGTGCGATGTTACAAAACATCGCACCCATGAATGCGATATATCGCGCGATGCGATTTAATATCGCATCGCATTTAGGGGTCGGAGGAGAAAAGAAGAACGACAAGGCCGGCTTTCCTAGGTGCGCAAGGAATTAGGTGAGTGAAGTTTAACGGGAGAATGGGATATCGTAGCCCCTCTCTGATGTAAAGCGTGTTAGAGGGCAGGGGTTGGATTCCGTAGATGTGGAGGAATGTAGTGCGGTCGAAGTGGTGGAAATTGGTTGGACTTCCAACCAATTGACTTAGTGGGGGTCGAGATTTCAATCAACCCCCTAAATCCCTTCAACCGCACACCACCACATTCCATCCACCACCGCCCATGTCAAAATTTGAACCTCCAACCAATTCCCTTCCCTCAACCGCACTGCACTCCTTTTCAACCAGAATTTCCAACCCTTCCTCTCCAAGCTCCTCACAAACACCTCCCCGTCAATTACACCAACCCCAAACAGCCGCGCGCAATTTCTGCACGCCATTACAACCAGAGAACCCTATTTTTTTCTAAGTTCAGGGCCCGCGCCCATGTTCCCCCCCCTTTCTGGCACAATTAAGCAACGCGATATGCGGATGTATGGCGCGCGATATTTTAATATCGCATATCGCATTATATCGCGCTGAAAAATCCGCGATAACTGCGCAATATCGCAAAGATCGCGCGATATTATCGCATCGCATGGCTGCGATTTTTTACTTTAAAAAAAAAAAAAAATCGCAATCGCAAAATGCGATGCGATGCACCCATGTCTAGAGCAGGGGCCTTTAGGAGCCCTCCTGAGTGCTCCTGAGTAACGCCAGCAGTCACGATATTTAGCTAGGAGGGCTCCCACTCTCTCCCTCTCTCAAGCGGTCCTGCTCATGACGATGTACATAAAAATGTCGAGATGCGAAGTATTATGGTGATGGTGGTGAAGCCCTTACCCGTCCTAGTATGTGTTCAGTTTAGGAGCAAGCGGCATATGATGAACCTAATCTGAAACAATTCTCCGGTTGGCCGATCAAAGATCTGAGGCCAACAGAACTAGCAAAGCAAGCCTATGAACAACATGTTCACTTGCTTGTGTCTCTCTTCTTCCGACCCACGCCACACAGGGATCTCTCGTCCAACAGTATCACTGGCTCCATTCCCAGCAGCATCACCTCGCTCACTCAACTCGTTTTTCTGTACGAAGCTCATTCAAATCTCGCGGTCACTCTATGCCAGTGTTACATCGCTATTGCTTGTGACACCATCTCTAACACTCTCATCGATCCAGTTCCAGAGCATTGTTGGATGATCCCTGACAGGTTAAACAGCATGCACACCTTGTGGCAGCCACGTGTTCCGCATGCTTGCATGCACCTTCCTCCCATTCCAAGTACACGCTTCCAACAAATTTCCCTTGATTTCCCTAACTTGTTGTCACATTCTGTGGAACCCTAGTTGAATGTACGCTTATGAATTTTTACGTTCACGAACGTTTTCGTATTTTTTTAAACATTTTAACAACTGTCTTGTTTTTAGCTTATGTTACAGTGGTCAGCTTATGACATTCTCTGGGCTACCTAGATAGTGTCATGTTGCATGATTCCGCGTCAGAACCTGCGCATAATTTTTGCTATTGTTTTTTTTTTTTTTTTTTTTTTTTTTTTTGCTCGCCACTTGGACCAGAATTTCGGCATTCCCTTATTTACGCACCATGCCCCTTCTCGGCATTAAACTCTTTAACCTTTCTTTATACAGACTCCAGCACCTTTCCTTTCACACGCGTATTTGGACACACGCCATACCTCGTAGTCTTTTCGGATTCTGTTAACAGCCAAAACTGTGGTGTTGTCTTGTTTTTATCGCATTTGCTTTCGACCAACCGGCACATACGCTAAAGTTTGTTGCGTTTGACGCAGAAAATAACGCGCAAGTTAGGTTGACATTAGACATGGGTATATCGCATCGCATTTTATCGCATTTTGGAATTGCGATTGATATTTTTTGAAGTAAAAAATCGCAGCGATGTGATGCGATAATGTCGCGCGATTTTTGCGATATCGTGCAGTTATCGCGGATTTTTCAGCGCGATATAATGCAATATGCGATATTAAAATATCGCGCGCCATACATCCGCATATCGCGTTGCGGAATCGTGCTAGAAAGGGGGGGGAACATGGGCGCGGGCCCTGAACTTAGCAAAAATTAGGGTTCTCTGGTTGTAATAGGCTTGAGCAAAACCGGGTATTTACCCGACCCGACCCGGTTTTGCTATACCCGACTTCGGGTCGGGTAGTTACGGGTCGGGTACGGGTCGGGTAACATGCCCTGGACCAATACCCGGAACCGGGATTTGGGGGCGGGTAAATTAATACCCGCCTGGCGGGTCCGGGTATACTCAAGGTGCAAAATTTCGGCAGGCGTTTTTTTCCATGGTTTTTTTCGATCGTTTTTTTCGGTGATTTTAGGAAAAAAACGCCGAATTTTTAATAGAGCGTTTCGGGTGTATTTTGTTATGAAGTTCTAAACGTCCACCAGATCTGCGCATTTCGTCCGCCAAAACGCGAGATCCACACATTTTGGTGGGAGAAATGCCAGATCCGCACATTTTGGCAGGCGAAATGTCAGATCCGCGCATATCAGCGGGCGAAATGCCAGATCCGGACATTTCGCTTGTATTTTTCATTTTTTTGAAAAAAAAACGGCCGAATTTTTTTCACCAATAATTTTTTTTTTCCAAACCGTTTTAATTCGTATTATACGTTCGTTTAATTCGGTACCGTACCATACGGTCTCAAAAGGAAAAAAACGGCCGTATTTTGTACCTTGGGTATACCCGACCCGGTTTCCTTGAAAAGCGGGTAGTAGTACCCGCGTTTTCCTACCCTGTTGGGCTACTAAACCTATGACCTAGATAGTGCTTAAAAAACGTCAGTTGCGGGAGGGAGTATGAGGTGCGCCAAATCTTTAACAGCTCTGGTGTGGTGAGTGGGGCGTGAGTGGGGCCTGAGTGGGGATTTGGTTGGGTTTTCTAGTTGGGATGGGGTTGTGTGCGGTTTTAGGGGGTTTGATTCTTTGACCCCCAGAGTCAACTGGTTGGAAGTCCAACCAATGTGGTGCTGTGCGGTTGGTTGGATTCAGGTTGGGTTGCAAATTCGATTGGTTGGAATTCCAACCAATTTCCCCCAATTCAACCGCTCTGAATACATCTGGATCTACGAAATCCAACCCCTGCCACTCTACAATGCTTTACGTGACCTAGCAGCTACATAACCTAAAAACTTGCTGAAATTTCTCTACCATCGCGATCAATGTCGCGCTGGTTCCGTCGGGTAGACGCGCTACCCGATTTCGGGTCGGGTACCCACTACCCGACGTGTCAGGTATCATTTCGGGTAGCGGGTATTGAATACCCGCCCGGGTAACCCGGACCCGACCTGCCGGGTAATTTTCAGGATTCCCGATACCTGACCTGCCCTAAAAGCGGATCCGGGTACCGGGTACCCGACCCGGGCGGGTAGTATGCTCAAGCCTAGGTTGTAATGGCGTGCAGAAATTGCGCGCGGCTGTTTGGGGTTGGCGTAATTGACGGGGAGGTGTTTGTGAGGAGCTTGGAGAGGAAGGGTTGGAAATTCTAGTTGAAAAGGAGTGCAGTGCGGTTGAGGGAAGGGAATTGGTTGGAGGTTCAAATTTTGACATGGGCGGTGGTGGATGGAATGTGGTGGTGTGCGGTTGAAGGGATTTAGGGGGTTGATTGAAATCTCGACCCCCCACTAAGTCAATTGGTTGGAAGTCCAACCAATTTCCACCACTTCGACCGCACTACATTCCTCCACATCTACGGAATCCAACCCCTGCCCCTCTAACACGCTTTACATCAGAGAGGGGCTACGATATCCCATTCTCCCGTTAAACTTCACTCACCTCATTCCTCGCGCACCTAGGAAAGCCGGCCTTGTCGTTCTGCTTTTCTCCTCCGACCCCTAAATGCGATGCGATATTAAATCGCATCGCGCGATATATCGCATTCATGGGTGCGATATTTTGTAACATCGCACCCTAAAAAGCGATATGCGATTTTATTTTTTGAAACAGAATATCGCAGCGTTGCGATATCGCATCGCTGTGATATCACACGCGATATGACAAAATGCGACGCGATATCGCATCGCATTTTAACCATGTCTAGTTGACATGGCTTACATAGGATCTGAAGCGATGTAAAAACCGATTTTCCAACACAAGTTCTGGAAATTTTGGGTTTTTGTGGAAATTCGGTTTCACCCTCTGAAGACATGGTTCTCGATCCATTTACTCTATGGAACTTTCTGCCTGGCTCTGAGAATACCCTGCCCTCCTTCCCTCCCCTTTCTCCCTCTTCTTTGCACGGACTATTCTTCTCGGGCGAACAGAAATATAGGCGGGAATCTCTTGGATGGATCCATTCCAGACTCTCTTGACTCGATGGTCGTGTTGATGAATCTGTAAGTATCATGTCAACAGTTGCTAGGGTGTTAGAGCCAACTGACGATTACGCTTGATGGCTTTTCCCTTTCTTGGTCCGGTGTGTGTTGAATTTGTGAATTAATGTTTTATATCAATGATCCTCCTTCAATCTATCCCTTTTATTTCTCTTCCTTGGTTTCTTTACCCCTGGTTTTCCATCCTTGCTTTACCCATGGGTTACACCATTACTCTTTACGAACTGTCAGAAATATGAGTGGAAACCACTTGAAAGGGTCCATTCCAACTACTCTTGGCAGCATGGGCAGCTTGAAGTTTCTGTGAGTATAGACATTGGCAGCAGTACTGCCACTACTTCCATTGCAGTGCCTGCAGTTCTGTTCACAATAGCAGGAACCTTGCTTGAGTCATCCTTAAGTTTGCAGATGTTGACTGATTCTTTTGCCACACATTTCTGTATCAGCATCTTCATTGCGAAATATGTTGGTCCAAACCACCCAACCCAACTGTGGAAGGACAGTTAGAAACGTGGATGCACAGGTTTTGTTTCCCAAACCCTTGAGTGTGATTATGACACGAGTTTTAGGACACATATAACCGTTCTTCGCTTTGCACCTATGTTTAAATGAGCAGGTACATGAATGATAACCAGCTCACTGGGAGCATTCCGGGCTTCATCAACCCAATGAATCTGACTGAACTGTACGTACATGTCTGTATTTTGTTATTCCACAAGCACGATCTCAAAGGACGTCATGCAAGTGCATTGTTACAAGTGAAACAGCAGTCATAACTTGGAGACTGAGAGCACCTGGCATACATGCATACACACACACACGCACACACGCATGCATGCATGCATTCCTTTGTAGTGTCCACAAGTAAGGACGAACGGTTATCAGGTTTGAGTACTATTGCAAGCTAAGTCTTGTCAGGAACAACATGCTCATCAGTGTATCATTCAATCTGCCGCACGTACGAGCATGTAATTAATGTATAATCGCTGGTGTACATTATGTGCACGTCGAAATGGCCATATGTCATAGCAAATGCTCCGAGAAGATGCTGGAACTGGTTGCCTTTTGGCCCTTGAGTGCAGGCTCCTCATATTCGACTGGGCGTTGTCAGCTTTGCCACGATGTCAAGATTGTAATGTTGTATATTGTCCTTATTGCACGCTGTGCTTCCTCCTACTGGTTATACTCTTTCTCTCGCTACATATGGTCGTTGTTCTTCTCCTGTCCATCAGGGTGTTGAGTGGGAATCAGCTGAGCGGCCTCATCCCCCCTCTATTCATTCCTGCGAACAGCTTCAACGTCTGTGAGTTTCCAGTTTGCTCATTCTACAGCCGCTGCTGTGTGCCATGGATAAGCAGCAGGTTGTGGAGCAAACAGTGCTACTGCTACCCTTGCCACGGTTTTTGCTAATGTTGCCACAGTTTTTGAGAGGTGCTGATATTCAGCTTGAACAATCTAAAGATGCCTTGCCATGTGGTCAGTCTACAAGACGCCAACAGCACGCAAGGAAAATGCATCCATTTCCCTCAATTGTATTCCAGGTGGCTCGACAACAATTCGCTGAGCGGGATCCTTCCATACTCTCTTGAGGTCATGTCTCAGCTTACCTCCTTGTATGAAAGTAACAGGTTATACGTCATGGTGATGTGTCGTACATCTTTGGTTGTTGCAATTCTGTCAAGCAGTCAGCATTCTAAACGTAACCCTAACGGACAAGCATCCCTGAGAGGCGCACAACAGTCTCACGGCCCCATACACCTATCTACAAAATCCTTTTGGCTGCAGGAGAATCAATGACACGAGCCTCAACGGAACGTTGCCAACGTTTCTTGGGAGTTTCAGTTCCCTCGATTCACTGTACGTGAAGCACTAGCCATCCACCACATGGTCCGCACCGCCCATGGCATGGAGCTATGCATGGTGGGTGCAGAGCATGTTTGCTACAAATCGTAGGTGATTTTTGAGTCGACTCAAAAAGCATGTTTGCTACAAATCGGAAACAGCATCTGAGGCTCTTCAAACTGACCAAATCTTTGTGGCAAAGTGTGCTGGGAGATGTTGAAGATGGTAGGTAGGTATGGCTACGGGTAGGAGCACATCGCAAAAATATTGTGTGCAAAATGTGTCTGAAAAGTGTCTAGACTAACACAAACCGGTCACTTTTCAAAGCACCCTGCAGTGTCTCTGTTGGGTCTTGGTGTGTCACACAGAACGAACACAAATTGAACACTTTTTCTGGATCCGAAATGTGTCCGAAATGACTCTTGCCTGAATAACATTTCTACATTGCCCGTTCATTCGCTACACCATTCAATACACGCAAAATGTTCATGAAACTCTTACTTATAAGCAATGTTATTACAAACCAAGGCGTACGAAAAATACAATTACAACAAAGCGGCTAACTACTAGTGCAGAAGCACAAAGAGCTCATTTGTCAGCCATATTATGCCAATGCCAAGGGCTTCAAACAACATCACCTGCGTGCAAAACAGAAGTACGTGACATTAGGCCAAGGTGCAAAACGCCGATTTTTTTTAACAATCCCGTGTAGACATGAGCAACGAGGCGAGCAACGAGACGAGGTGCATTGGGAGGCAAATAGGTCTGTAGGGCGACCATTAGAGCCACTCCAAGCACGCCTGTTAAAAGCCAGCAAGCTCCGGGCCGGGAGGAATGGGCCGCTCAACACGTGGTGGAGGGAGGGGGAAGAAGAGGGGCCGCGGTGCTGGTGCCCGCGGCGGAGGGGAAGGGAGGGGTGGTAGAAAGGGAGAGGGAGAGGGGGATGACGGGGGATCCGCGCCCACGGCATCGCAGCAGCGTCAACATTAGTGCTGCCCGGGGGTGGGGGCGACTTTGGTAGCTAAGGTGTACAAAAACAGTCGTTCCTCTAGGTGTTTTGTACATTTCTGCCCAATTCCCAACAAAGTTGCCAAAACGAGGCGAGGATTCCTCGCCTCGGGGCGAGGAATTTCCCTGGGGGCGAGGAAAAAAATCCTCGCCCCTAAACCCGAGGGACGAGGGTTTTTTTTCCCCAAAATTCCTCGGCGAGGAATCCTCACCTCGCCTCGTTTGGGGGGCGATGGTTGGAATTCCTCGGCAAGGAATCCTCGCCTCGCCTCGTGCTCATGTCTAATCCCGTGCTGTACGGTACCGAATGTTTCGACCACTTCAAATGTTTAAAAGCAGTTCCAAGTATGGTTGATATGTTGGTGCAAAAAACGGTCGTACATTTTCACCGTATTTTCACGTAGGTGTACACAAACAAAGATCGATATGCTTATCGAACTTTGCGACCCATCCTCGGCTAAATGCGCGGTCCGGGATTTTTCCGGAGCATGCATTTTGCCGAATCTCGAACCGCGCGACCAACATTTTCTGCCGCGGCTGTTGCGAAATCTAGAACCGTTTCGTCGCGCACGGTTCTGAATTTCGCAACGGCAAGGAAAGCGTGGTGAAAATTTGTAGTTCGCGGCACGCCAACTAAACCAACAAGTAAAAATCCCGTCATTAGGGATTCCAACCCAATTCGACCCAGCCACAAACGGCCCACGCCCCATGCCCTACGCCCCACACCCCACTCCCTCCATCAAGGGCTTTCTGGATTTAACAGAGGATAGCCCAAGTACAAAAACAGAACCAGAAATACTAGGTAAGCTCACTAGCTAGTTAAAAAATGGCAGCACCCAGCCACTTCTTTACCCCTGCAGAGCGAGGCGGTCGGCCGGAGATGCGGAGGATTGGTAGAAGGAAGATCAGTAGGAGGAGTGGGAGGAGGAGGATGAGGAGGATTTCCTATCCTACCTCAATGTTGTGTGTTTTCGCGTGTAGGGAAGATGCCTAGCCCCCCCTGGATGTTGTTGTGTTGTTTTTTGGCAGGGAAGGAAAAAAAAAAAAAATCAGACTTGAGCCCATAAAAGAAAACTGTGTTTTTTCCCCCAAAATTATCGGAAAAAAACAGCCTTTTTTTTCGGACTGTATTTTACCGCAACCGAAATTTTGCACCTGGGATTAGACTCTAAAGGGGCGGAGATCTTGGGCAGCAGTTAAGGGAACGCCTTGGTCAATGCCACACAGCATGTCGTTGCTATATGCGTCATCCACCATACGCAAGGCAAGTGCTGGTGGCAGGGGAATAAGAGGGAATACAATGATGGATGCTGCGGTCCTTGACAACTGCTGCAACCGTACAATCATACTAACGAGGAAAAAAAAAAACCAGGCAAGAATGCATTAGTCAATAGGGTGGAAGGGTGGAAGGCTACGAATGGTAAAATTACAAAGCGACGAAAACTGCAAGCCACACACATCTTCCTCGTGGATGCAGTGAACCTACTGGTCAACACTACGTCTCGCGCCAATGCCCCATTGAAAGGCGGCAAAATCGTGCATACATTTGTTTAAAACACATGGGAGGCGATGTAAGCGACGCAGTCATTGCTCGGTTACGGATTTCCAATTGGCAGCAGTCTGAATAGAAGGACTGCAAAATGCGAACGAAAGAACTCGTGACGAGACACACTAAATTGTGGCGCCATAGCCTTCCTAGATTGTGAAGCCATGCCATGCATAGTTATGGACATCTAGCGGGGAAAATGGGGGAGTCCGCACGTTGGGAACAAATGAAGAAGTGTGGGCTGATATGGGATGGCTGCTGCAAAGGGGTGGACTGGAAAGGTGAGACGGTTGGTTTGCTTGGATGCTGAACTGTGGTTGGTTGTGGCGAATATCTGTGAGGTGCTTCTGAACGCCACGAAAGATGGGTTATGTTGACTGGGCAATTTGGCGACCTGTGGTTGGCTCACACGGTTCATTCAAAATTCCATGCGATAAGGTTCGGCTCACTGCTGGTTTCAATGTACAGTTTGTTGTCCCCGAAACAAATTTCACGAAGACCACATGCTCGCGAGGCGAACTTTCACAAGAGCGAATTTTCGCGTGACAGTTTTTTCTCTGCGAAATTTCGCGCACACTCACAATTAGACATGGGCAAAAAAATCGCATCGCATCGCGTTTTTGCGATTGCGATTTTTTTTTTTAATCATCGCGCGATGCGATGAATTGTTTATCGCGCGATTTAATTTAAATCGCATTTAAATCGCGCTAAAAACGCGATTTAAATGCGATGTGCGATTTTTTTTAAACTGCGCGCGATGTCGCACTGAAACCCACTCTGAAACCCACTTCGAAACCACACTAGTTATTTGCACTCTAGCTTACGACTGCCCGTGATTCAATTTCCCGGCAGCCATGGTTTTTTCTTTCGGGGTTTTTTTTTATTATTCTGTTTTAAAACGCGATGCGATTTAAAATCGCATCGCGCGATTTAATTAAATACCGCATGCGGTTTTAATATTCATCGCGCGCAAAACGCGATGTGCAGTTTTTTTTTTTTCCAGAAATTAAATCGCGCGATGCGATTTAAAATCGCATCGTATTTAATTAAATCGCCCCCCAATGCGATGCGATTTAAATCGCAATCGCATTTTGCCCATGTCTACTCACAATCGCGACTCCGCTTCGGATATTCGAGATTTTGCCTTCTGGCATGATTTTGGCTCAATTGACG